CATACTCCTTGACAAACTACGTAATCGCCCCATACAACTTGACTTTCCCAAATGTTGCCAACTGCCCGAAAAATGCATTTGAAAAATCGAAAATATAAAACTTTTTACAAAATGGCCGCCCGCTCAGCCGCCATCTTGATTTTCCATGATTTCGGATTTTTCCCATAGTCTGGGTCGTATAACCGACCAAACCCTATTTTCAGATTTTCCCTGCCATATCTCCTTCTGTCCGTCCTTAACTTTAAAGACACCCATGTCGAAAAAAATACTTTTCCGCGTAGCTCCCAGTGTTGCCAGGTGATCGAGATGAAAATGGTCAAATGTCATTTGCACAACTCCTTTGCAGGAGGCGTCATCCAAATTTTCGACCGGAAGTCGTTATTTCTACTTTCGACATTTTTGGACCAAATCTCCTAAGGTATGGCAACACTGGAGAAATTTCTTCACCCAAGCGAAACCTCTTGACAAGACACACAACCGCCTCATACAACTCGACTTTCCAAAGTGTTGCCAACTACTCGAAAAATGCATTCTAAAATTTCGAAATTTTCAACTTTTTACAAAATGGCCGCCCGCTCAGCCGCCATCTTGATTTTCTGACATTTCGGATTTTTCCCATAATCTGGGTCGTATATCCGACCAAACGTCATTTTTATTTTTTTTCTGCCATTATTCTTTCTGTCCGTCACTAACTTTAAAGACACCCATGTCGCAAAAAATACTTTTCCCCATAACTTTCAGTGTTGCCAGACTTTTTTCATAAAAATGCTGAAATGTCATTCGGGTCCCCAAATGTCACCAGACTGCATTCCAAGTTTATGGAATTTTTGGAAATTTCCATTTTCTACTATCCGGGGCCGTGGTGGAAAATTTTCTTCCAAAATGGTAGTTTTTTCCGATTCATGGCAACACTCGAATAACAGACCAACAATCGCCCCGAACATTGTACCCCACTCCGGTGTCGCCATCTACCGGAAAATTGCTGTCAAAGTTTAGAAATTTTTTGATCGCAACAAAATGGCCGACGGCTCAGCCGCCATCTTGTTTTTCGATAATCTGTGAATGTGGCCTTGAAGCAGACTATATACGTCACAAAAACTCAAAAGAAGTTTTAAAAAAAAATGGCGCACCTCGGAATGACACCTCCTTAAAATCACCTCGAAATCGCATTTTCAATCCAAGATGGCGGCGCGGCCATTTTGTTTTTCCATTTTTTTCTCACATTTTTTAACTCATCTTGGCAACCCTAATAAACTCCCAAAAAGGAAAAAATTCAGGATGAAAAACAAAAAAGTTGTTGTCTCAAAAAATGCCGCCATTTTGTTTTTTGGTTCAAAAAATGTAAAAAACCTGGGTGTCAAAAAATCTTGTAAAAAACAAACACCAACAATTTTACCCCTTTCCCCTCTAAACACCCCAAAAATACCCCTGATCAGTGAGTGAGTCAGTGAGTAGGAATCGAGCTTTATATAATATAGATATACTACACATGCATTAATTATAAAAGATGTAGTAAAAATAAATGCTTACAGGCTTTTTTAGCCTACACCGTGAATAAAAATAATCAATATGAACAATAAAAGCAAGTTTTTTTTCTCATAAGAACAAGTGGGCAGTTAAAATCTGTTATGTTTTTTAAAGAAAAAAAATACTGTACTTTTAATTTAACTTTGCAGAACTGCAGACTAGCAATAAAACTTACAGAAGTTGATTTCATCAAGCTGTCACCACTGTGTAAATCTTGCAAAAGTTGGCTTGCCACAGCTATTTATACAGTGGTAAACAGCTTGCGAGTTTTATTGCTAAATCCCGGTCTGTGAGCACGTAGAATTTTGTCCATTGACCCCAAGCTACCCATCCTTATCGTTCGCGCGTAATTGTGTTGCTGTCGCGGTCGCACACTCACTGCGGGCGCCCGTCGCACAGTCGCGACAGCAATATAATTACGCTCGAGCGATAACGATGGGTAGCTTGGGGTCATTGGACGAAATTCTACGTGCTCACAGACCGGGCTTTAGTCTAATAAACCTCTCTTGAAATTCGTTCTCGTATTTTTTCTAGGCCTACAGATGCATGTACGTGGTGCTCATCATGGCGATATTCTGGGTGTTGGAGCTGCTGCCTCTGCCGGTCACCTCCATGCTGCCGATCGTCCTCTTCCCCACCATGGGAATACTGAACTCGGACCAGACCTGTGCTGCTTATATGAAGGTAATTTCAACCACAGGAGCAGGACATAAAGGGTCTCCCAGAATGGGTAAATCAAACTGCTAGGCGAGGTAGCTTTACTAATGTACTATCCCTAAAAATATGAAAAAAGAAATAAAGCGCATAAAGAAACAAAAAAAAAGTGAAAATAAATCAGCTTTGCCTAAGTATCTGACTATAATTGCTGTGTTAGGAGTTTATTTGTACTTTTTCTAACTAATATTAATTGTACATGATCGCTTTGTTTATTTGTAAACAAACTTTTGAAAATAATGACTAGATTTCGAGTTTAGACACTTTATTTAAACAAAAATTCCGAACTCAATTTTTTTTTTCATATTTTTTAAGGATAGTACATTAGTAGAGCTACCTCCCCTAGCAGTTTGATTCACCCATTCTGGGACACCCTGTATAGGCTTCCCCCAATGATTTCCATATGATGGGATATTGTTACTCTTTCACGCAAAAAAGAAGTTTAGAAGCCACGATAGCCGAACTAAAAAAAAGCTATTGAATGAATTTGAACGAAAACTGCAGTATCAAATATAACATATTGCCACAATTTCCACACAAATTGTAATAATCGAAAAGGAATTTGACATCAAATATTGTTTACTACCCATGGTACAAGTTTTGCTTAGTTTGGTACTAGAGGCGCATTGTAAAATACCCAAGGATATTTATTTAAATGTGTTTTTGAGACTTTAATGTTGATTCCATTATTTAAAAACTAGATTTCATTACAGAATCAACCTTTTTGTTTGAACACATACCAAAGAAACACCTTGTATAAAGCCCGGTCTGTGAGCACGTAGAATTTTGTCCAATGACCCCAAGCTACCGATCCTTATCGCTCGCGCGTAATTATGTTGCTGTCGCGCTCGCACACTCACTGCGGGCGCCCGTCGCACATTCGCGACAGCAATATAATTACGCGCGAGCGATAAGGATGGGTAGCTTGGGGTCATTGGACGAAATTCTACGTGCTCGGCGGCCAGACTATAGTATAATTTGATCTGTTTTGTATCTTTTTATGCAGTAAATAACTTTGATTTTGTATTCGCAGGAGACAAACATGATGTTCATGGGCGGGCTTATGATAGCGGCTGGCGTCCAGCATTCCAAGCTTCCGAAGCGAGTGGCGCTGTGGACTGTCCAGGTGGTGGGCTGCTCGCATAGGAGGTTCGTTTTCTTTAACCCTTTATAAGAAAAAAAAGTGGGAATATAGTTCCCACCTCTCGTTCCCACCGCTGCAACTCCCGTGTAGCCAGGATCTACAGCTTGACCGCCAATAAAAACCCAACCAATGGAGGTTAAGTTATACGGCAGTGGGAATATATTTCCCACCATGTTTTGAACTTTATTCCCTTCTATTAAGGTCCTAAAATACTGAAATATTTGGACTTGTTATATAAAAAAGGGAACGGGGAAAATATTATAAACAACTTAGTATACCTTCACTGAGAAACACAAATTTCCTGCAAACCTAGATATTACGATAATACCTACCAGGAGTGTCACAGTCCTGACACTCCTGGCATGTGACGTCATGTGAAAGCTTTATGATTTTCAATGTGGTGCCCCTTACAAATCATGTATTTTCAAAACTAAATAAATCGACGTCGGACTATGGGTTTTTGCCACTGGATTTTGAACTTTACTGAAATGAAACAAGTTTAAGAAATATTTTTCTCTACACTCTCTAAAGAGTCCCAATTTTTCTCATTGCAAGCTAAACATCGGTATCATGTTCACGACGATGTTCGATGTGGGTTTTTGCCACTGAGTTTTGAACTTTATTATGCAATAATAACCTCTATTACTTTGATGGTAGGGTCGGAAATCGTGTAATTTAAAAAATACTTAGCGAGAAATACGCGGTGCGTGTAATACACGACTACGTATTATGCAATAATAACCTCTATTACTTTGATGGTAGGGTCGGAAATCGTGTAATTTAAAAAATACTAAGTGGATCAAGTATTTTAAAAATTGGAATAGGTGCCACTTAGTACTGTAAAATACCTAGTGTGTGGACCTGTTCTAGTAAATACGTCTCATCTCTAGCTTGTATTGCCATACAAATAGTATGGGAGAGTTTCGTTTTGACAGTTTTAAAAAGTACGTCAATTGATTGGTTGTGTCAACACGTCTATTTATAAATAACGTGACCTTTGGCGTGAGTTAAAGTCCCAACAGAAGCAGTAAATTTTCTCATAAATAATCATAATTCATAACGTCTCCCAGGGCGCCAATTCCCAGCAACATAACCATCTGCTACTACCTGAGCATCGCCTACGCTTCGACACTCGGCGGCTGCGGCACTTTAGTGGGAACCGCCACTAACTCCGCCTTCAAGGGGATATTTGATTCGTAAGTATATTGTATTGTTTAAAAAATTCCATCATCATCATCATCATCATCATCTCAGTCATAGGACGTCCACTGCTGAACATAGGCCTCCCCCAATGCTTTCCATGTTCAACATCACGAAACTTGTCCATTGGTGAACGGTCAAGTGGTAGGAGGACTATCGCGTTTGCAATCACTAAATAGGTGCCTTTGCAGCTTCGTCGAGTAAATGGCGCCAACTGGTATAATATAAAAAAACCGTAATTGGATGCCTAGGGCCTAGGCATCCAAAAGCTGGCATCCAATTTATATGCCTAGGCCAAGACTTGGCCGACTATTGAAATTTAGATTAGAGAGTAAATTAGTGGTTATTAAACCTGATGGCTGACTTCCTAATCTTTATGATTTTTGTTGTGGAATTGTGTAAAGCAATCGTAATCATTTGACAGTTCATAACGTACGATTATTCTGTCAAACACTTTGTATAACTGACTTTACCGTACGTTATGAACTGTCAAATGATTACGATTGCTTTACACAATTCCACCTCTGATGGCTGACTTCTTAGGTCCAGAACAGACGGTGAAACGAAACTGCAACGAAACTGCAACTGCTAGTTACTTTTGAGTTGCATCTAAGTTTCTGCCATAGCGTCCGTTGAGAGACCACACATGACGCGACCAGTTTGAAACTTTCAGTTTCAGNTAAATATACAACAATCATGTTAATTAATACTTATGAAATAGTAAGTTGAATAATGTATCTTTTATTATATACCATGGACATTAGCAAAAACAAAAGAAAACTAGGTGTAAAATGGGATTGAAAAAAACTGGTCCAAATTAGCGGACTCTCCCTTATAAGCTGTATGTTTTCCTAATAAAGAAAATAAAATAAAAAATAACGTGACGTCACCGTCTCCCAGGGCGCCCATTCCCAGCAACATAACCATCTGTTACTACCTGAGCATCGCCTACGCTTCGACGCTCGGCGGCTGCGGCACTTTAGTGGGAACCGCCACTAACTCCGCCTTCAAGGGGATATTTGATTCGTAAGTATATTATGTTGTATTGTTTAAAAATTTTACTTACTTCAAAATTGTTTATCAAGCTATGTGTTCATTAGGCAACATTTGTTGATAAACACTGTTTATAAACAGTCCATAAACATAGGTGATGAAACATTGTTTCTGATACATGTTGCCGTGCTCCCCGCTATGAGTGTGGACGGCCAAGATTCAGAAACCTGTGTTTATGGTAAACTTGTTTCACACTAGTCATAAACAGTTTGTCAACAAATGTTGCCTAATGAATACATGGCTTAAGATTAATGCTTCAACCACACCAATGCGTGCAGATCGCCATCGCTGGCGCGATCATAGGGAAATGACAGGTCGTCAACTGTCATGGGTCACGCGACCTGTCATTGGCCTTTGATCGCGCCGGCGATGGCGATCTGCACGCATTGGTGTGGTTGAAGCTTATGGCAATATTGAAAAAAAAACTCATTTATATTTGCGAGTGCCATACATTAAAAACCGACATCCAATTTATATGCCTAGGCCAAGATTTGGCCGACCATTGAAATTTAGTTTAGAGGGTAAGGCGATTATCACACTGCGCCGCGGTCCGCATGATTTCATATAAAAAATCCCGCGCGCAGACGCGTTGTCAGTCTTGTCAGTGTGTTGTGCCGTGTGTGTTTTCTATACAAACTGAGGTACTTGCATACAATGATTAAATCTGTCGTCCCGCGTACCGCGGCGGAGCGCGGCGCAGTGTGATAACCCGCCTTAGTGGTTATTAAACCTGACTTCTTAGGCCCAGAACAGACGGTGAAACGCAACTGCAACGAAACTGCAACTGCTTTGAGTTGCATCTAAGTTTCTGCCATAGCGTCCGTTGAGAGACCACACATGACGCAACCAGTTTGAAACTTTTAGTTTCAANAGTTTCAGTTTCATTCATCAGAATCATCAGAAAGTTGCAGTTTCGTTGCAGTTGCGTTTCACCGTCTGTTCTGGGCCTTAATCTTTGTTTTTTGTTGATGATGCTCTAATAACATGTTTTTCTTCCCCAGCGAGTTCCCTGAATACGGTCCATCAGTGAACTTCTTCTGGTTCATGGCGTACAGCACTCCGCCCATGCTGATCATGCAGCTTCTGGTCTGGGTCGCGCTACAGGTCACTTTTATGGGCATGTTCAGGTAATGACCCTTATGCAGGCGGAATATGGGTGGTTTTGCAATAACGCCTGGCTAGCCACCACCATCTTACCTAAGTCTGTCGCCATAACAACAATGTTAACAGCATTGTTGTGTTCCGGCAGTTAGAGGTAAGATAGCCAGTTCCTCCGTGGTTGAGGATTCCGGGTGAAGCTCGCTTCCACCTTCGGCCTGATCGTCACTTACCATCAGGTGAGATACAGGCCAAGAGCTTCCTCGTTGTTTATAAAAAAGAAACACGCATTATAGGCTGCTTAACGAAACTTGAGGCGAACACATATTGACACTGATGTAATATTCAAATACAGAACACAGATCAACGGGACTTATCCAACCACACTTTCCCAACTAAAACTCCTGTATAGCCAGGATCTACAGCTTGCCCTCCCTTCATGGGCATGTTCAGGGAATAATATACCTTGTGCTGTTGGAATTGGAGTGGTTTTGCAACCACCGTCTGTCGGACGAGAACAGATCCTTGGGCAGTCGCTAGGAGGGACTGTGATACTCAAGTGAGAAGTGTGAAGTCAGTCTCACAGTTTCCCTCCACTTATGGTGGCTAGCGAGTGACGGAGCACGAAACTTTGGTGCTAAGTGCGGGGACCCTGCTTAAAAAATATACACTTGACGTTATGAGTATTCAGATATTATTGGTTAGTTGTGTGTATAGAAGTTATTGACTAGCATCTGCTCAGATATTAATGAAGTAACGAATCTTCAGATATTAATGGTAGCTTGTAGTGTATAAGGCCTGGTCCGTGAGCACGTAGAATTTTGTCCAATGACCCCAAGCTACCCATCCTTATCGCTCGCGCGTAATTATATTGCTGTCGCGACTGTGCGACGGGCGCCCGCAGTGAGTGTGCGAGCGTAACAGCAAAATAATTACGCGCGAGCGATAAGGAAGGGTAGTTTGGGGTCATTGGACAAAATTCTACGTGCTCACGGACCAGGCTTTAGAACTTATTGACATTTTAAAATGTTCAGAAGTATTTGGTCACTTTGTCTGCTCCAATATATCTGACGGCGACTGTACACAATCTTTATTCGACTGCATTTTTTCATTCCTATTTTTATTTATATTTTCTCATACTCTCCGCACAGGCCAAACAGCGAAGCGGCCAAGAAAGTGGCGCTAGCGTCGTCAGGCTCCTCCACCACCATGAAGGTCATCAAGGAGCAGTACAGGAACCTGGGACCCATCACCTTCCACGAGAGGGTGAGTTCACACTTGCTGATTAAGTGCCTGATAGTTTATCGGGAACTTATCTGTCAGATAAACTTCGATTGTTAGGTTTACGGCATGTTTCAATGCTTGCTGATAAAGTCCCATGTTAGTCTATCAGACTTATGCCCGTTTTCACCATCAATCCCTAATTTTTAAGTGACCCCTATGACATCAAAATTCCTGTTATTTGTTACCATAGGTCACTTAAAAATTAGGGCTTGATGATGAAAACGGGCATTATTGTCAGATAAACTACACCTGTAGGCATAGGAAATACAATTAGGTTTAAGACATGTTTCAACACTTGATGATAAAGTCCTGGTTAGTGTATCCGGAACTTATCTGACAGATAAACCATAACTGTAGGTTTAATTTTCACTTTATTGCTTACTTACTTTATTGATAAAGTCCATGATAGTTTATCAGAAACTTATCTGTCAGATAAACTAAAACTTATTTAGTGTTTAATTAACTGCTTGTCCTCAGTCGTCCGGTCTGCTGTTCATCTTCGCTGTGTTCCTGTACATCTTCAGAAAACCAGGATTCATGCGGGGCTGGGCTGACGTCATGACGGACTTGTAAGAACCATCATTTTATTCTGTTGTTCTGGCCCCTACCGTGGTTAAATTCCTCGACGAAAAGAAATGAATTAAAAATAAACACAGTAATGCGATTCCATACTCAAAGAAAAGAAGATTTCTTAAAATGTAATTTGACCAATCATGTATCTTACCATTATTGTATGCTCATGCGGCGGAACATAGCTGATCTATCATACAAAAGACAATGCCGGAAATTGGCGTCTTTTTTTTTCGCGCGGCCATCAACCAAACCTTGTTTTTTGATTACAAAATAGTATAATAAACCAAACTTACTATGACATGTATACCTCTAAACTCAGTCTGAACTGAGTTACGAGCATTAGATAAACACAATTTGAATTTAAATTTGAATTTGATGACGCCAAAAGCGCTCTGTAAATATGTCAAGCCAAAAAAATTGTGACAATTTATGATTACTTGTTTTGTGGGAGATCTTGCATGCGAACGTTTATTTATGGATAGATGATGACTGGTGTCATTGTAGGTAGACCTTATGAACGAAGGTTTTTAAAGCCCGGTCTGTGAGCACGTAGAATTTTGTCCATTGACCCCAAGTTACCCATCCTTATCGCTCGCGCGAATTAATATTGCTGTCGCGACTGTGCGACGGGCGGCCGCAGTGAGTGTGCGAGCGCGACAGCAACATAATTATGCGCGAGCGATAAGGATGGGTAGCTTGGGGTCATTGGACAAAATTCTACGTGCTCACAGACCAGACCATAGATGTAGAATATTCTCTAAAATATTCTGTTCTGTTCTCCTCAGGAAAGTAAAGGACGGTGTGACATCAATGTTCATAGTGGTGCTGATGTTCATCATTCCCATGTCCATGGACTTCATGAAGTTCTTCTGGTCTTCTAGCTCTTGTAAGTATTTCATGGAACTGTTTTCACTGTACACATACAGTGTGAGTCACGTTAAAGTGTACATATGAAAATAGATGAAACTAGACCTATTTTTATCGACAAAAAAGAGGTCAAAAAATTTTTGAGATTTTTTTTAAATTTTTTATAGTTTTTTTTTTCTTCCAATTACTTATTGTAAAGAAAACGTAATAACTTTTAAACTAAGCGGTATATCCTGATAAAATAAAAACAGTAATAATGCTAAATAACAGGCGATACTAAAAAAATACATAAAATACACAAAAAAAGCCAACAAATAATAAAAAATGATACTTTTTGAAAAAAACCTGCTTAAAAATTCGTGTTTTTTTGGTTATTTGATAAATTTCTCCAAAAAATGCCCCTATAACCGGTAGTTTTTATTACTTTGTATTGTTCTCTATCGTATTATCTTTGTAAAACCAAAAATCGCATGTCCCTATCCCTATCACAACATTTGCCATGATCGTTTGAACAAAGGCCTGCCACAACATTATTCTCCGCTACAGGTAGAGACAATTTTAATTTTAACTAAAATGCTTATTTTACTTCTAAATCTTTTGTTTTTATTTGAAATCTAACTTGTCTTTATCAAAATTACAAATATAGAGCCATCTTCAGTTTTGTTGTTAACGAATCGTTGAATGGCGCGCCCGGAGAGGCTTAGTTCAAACGATCATTGCAAACGTTGTGATAGGGATAGAGACATGCGATTTTTGGTTTTGCGAAGGTTATACGATAGAAAATAATACAAAGTAATAAAAACCACCAGTTATAGGGGCATTTTTGGAGAAATTTATCAAATAACCAAAAAAACACGAATTTTTAAGCAGATTTTTTTCAAAAAGTATCATTTTGTATTATTTGTTGGCCTTTTTTGTGTATTTTATGTATTTTTTTAGTATTGCCTGCTATTTAGCATTATTACTGTTTTTATTTTATCAGGATATACCGCTTAGTTTAAAAGTTATTACGTTTTCTTTACAATAAGTAATTGGAAGAAAAAAAATTCTATAAAAAATTTAAAAAAAATCTCAAAAAATTTTTGACCTGTTTTTTGTCGATAAAAATAGGTCTAGTTTCATCTATTTTCATATGTACACTTTAACGTGACTCACACTGTATAGGGTGTTTTTTTTAGAGGTATAGAACTTTAAAATGAAATAAAATACATAAAACTATATTTTATTCACATGGTATTGGTTTTGTTTAAAAGGTATTCTAATGCCATTTATGCTTCAAAATGATTTCGGGCCTAAGAGTGCTATGGTTGGCTCAAATGTAGCGTAATCGAGATGTCTAATTTTCAATTTCTTTTTCGAGCAACTGGGGCCATACATTGGCAATAACGCGACAAATCTTGGCATTGATTTCCGTAGTTTATCTGCGTAGTAGTGGACTTCACATATCCCCAGAGAAAATAATCCAAAGGTGTGAGATCACCCGATTGTGGAGGAAAATTCAAAGATCCATCGCGTGAAATTATGCGCTCATCGAATGTTTCCCGCAATAAATTGAATGTGTCGCGTGCTGGTTGGATGGTAACACCATCTTGTTGAAACCATAGCTCTGCCACATTAATATCATTCATCTGAGGAATGAAAAGTTAAGAAAATTACGTCGACCGTAATATGGACGTTTGTATGGAAAACTGAACCATGATTTTTAAAATACATTTTTGCACAATATGCAAACGTTGTTCTGAAGTAATTCTATTTAATTATGAAATGGAAAAACATACTGTCCACAACTGTACCACCAACTATCAAATATAATATCACTAGAAACAGTGTAACCAATTTAAAGTTGTATACCTCTAAAAAAACACCCGTTAGTTTTGTTATGTCTTATTTTTTAAAATGGCGAGAGGGGTACAATATTATCAAGGTGTCAAGATCGTTTCATCCACAAAGACGCGCTACACAAATTTTTGGTCTCGGTCGCGCTGGATGCGGGGAGTTTGATCCGAGCAATCCGAGCGGCATTATTGTAGTTTGCGTATACACTCGTGGCTAATATAGCGTGTAGGTACCGATAACATTCAAACATTAGCGGAATAATGTTGGGGCACGTCTTCATGGATGAAACGATCTATAAATTGAGAAGTGATCTTATTTTCAGAACTAGTATAAAGTATATTTAGAATAGGAATATTATTTGTGCCTTGGGCTTATTTTATAATCAGCTTTTGCCTGCAGCTTCAATTACAGAAGACTACCTCGCGTATATACCTTTTGTTTTCAAGACTTGATCCTAATTTTATTTGTGCTAGAAATTTGAGATATTTACATTGTGTTTACAAACATTTGTTTCAGACGAAGAGTTGGCAGCGTCTAAGCCATCCCCTGGTATTGTTACTTGGGCGATTCTGAAGGACAAAGTCCCATGGGGACTTCTCTTCTTGTTGGGTAAGTTAAAAGTACATTGAAAACTATTACAGAACTATCATAATCATCATTTCATGTAATCTCCATTGCAGAAGCCCGACTCTCTCCAACTTACTATAGGCAAAAAGAGGATTTGTCGCCTCTTTCTTACGACATCTATATCTATACTTATAATAAATCTGTAGAGAGGTCAATTCTGTAAATGAAATATATTTTCAAAATAACTATCAGGGGGTGATTAGTGATCGATACTGATGCCAAAAATGCAATCAGTAAAATTTTTGTCTGTCTGTCTGTCCGTCTGTATGTTCCTTATAGAAACAAAAACTACTCGACGGATTTTAACGAAACTTGGTACAATTATTCTTCATACTCCTGGGCAGATTATAGTATACTTAGGAATTCCCACGGGAACAGGAATTAGCGGGAAAATCCTTTTGTATGAAAAATCTAAACTGCTTAAGTTAGACGCTTGAAATTTGGTATGTAGGTACCTTAGTAAACTTAAAGCTTAGTTACAACAAGGAATTCCCGAAATTCCCACGGGAACGGGAATTCTCGGAAAAATCCTCTTGTATGAAAAATCTAAACCGCTTAAGTTAGACGCTTGAAATTTCGCATGCAGATACCTTAGTAAACTTAAAGCTTAGTTACAACAGGATATTGCAAAATTCCCACGGGAATGGGAGTTAGCGGGAAAAAACATTTGTATGAAAAAATCTAAACCGCGTAAGATAGATGAAGGGGGTAAAACGGGATCCACGCGTACGAAGTCGCGGGCGGCCGCTAGTCCACAATAAGAGTGGGAGTGGTCCTATTCTACTCTGTCGGTGTTTAAAACGTGGAAATCCTTGAGGGAGATCTTTGTACAGCAGTGGAATCCTTAGCCTGATATGATGAATTTTAAAATATTATTAAAATACGTTCTCCTATAAATGCCATATTATTATGACGTCAGCGTCAAACGTTCAGCGTCAAATATAAAGTAAGCATTGTGACGCGGCTTACGGCGTTTATAACACAGCCTTTTTGTGCCCTTAAATTTTTTATTATGTTATTTAACTGTAATTAAAACAATATTTTTCTATGCAATTTGAATAAGTATATTTTTGTAAACACTTGTAAAACGGGGTAAAACCATATCGATTCATTTTTTATAATAAACAAAAAACATTTGTAAAAGCTCAAGTCCCCAAAAGACAGGATTACCTAGTTCGGGGACTACTAGTAAGGCTAAGAACTCACGGCGCGATTTTCACGGCGGTGGTTGTGGAAATGCGGTTTTATTTAAAAACTCACGGGAGCGGTTATTTGCGCGGTTATTCTAAGAACTGACGGTGCGATTTGAAATCTCGCCGCGTACTAAGTAACTGGTACAAAATGGGCGGTTTTCGCGCGGGTGAAAACCGCCGAGCGGGACCCGATTACAACCACGCCCGCTGCGGGCGAAAACCGCGTCGTGAGTTGTGCATTAGTTTTTACATAAGTACATTTATCTGCATTCTACAGAAGCTACGGGCCCGCAACCGCCGCGGGCGCGTGTGAAAATCGCGCCATGAGTTCTTAGGCTTAGTCATCATAAAACTGATAATACTAAGTGTATTTTTCTGTGAAATAAATTTATTTATTATTTCAGGCGGAGGCTTCGCCCTAGCCGAGGGCAGCAAGGCCACCGGCCTGTCCTCCATGATCGGTAGCTCCCTCCACGGCCTCCATGGTCTACCGCATTCCTTAGTACTGCTGGTGGTTGTCCTGGTGACGCAGTTCATCACGGAGTTCACGTCTAATGTGGCCATCGCTAATCTGATACTGCCCGTGTTGGCTAATATGGTGAGTCTACATTTTATTTATCCTACACCACGAAATAATAGTAAGTACTACGTACAGAAAGTTTTCTTCGCGAAGATATTTAAAAAGATGTCTTCTAAAGCCCGGTCTGCGAGCACGTAGAATTTTGTCCAATGACCCCAAGCTACCCATCCTTATCGCGCGTGAGTAATTATGTTGCTGTCGCGCTCGCACACTCACTGCGGGCGCCCGTCGCACAGTCGCGACAGCACTACAAAATTCTACGTGCTGTTTCTAGGCTGTCACAGGACTATAGCTCTTAACGCCTTGTAATAACGCCCACAGTCGCGCGCACTAGACATGGACCCGCGCTACCTGATGGTGCCGGCCACGCTGGCCTGCTCCATGGCCTTCCACATGCCCATGGGAATGCCGCCCAACGCTATCGTGGCTAGTGTAGTACACAGCCCATATAGCTGGGCATAGAACTATAACTCTTAAAACGTTTGCATAACGCCCACAATCGCGCGCGCTTTACGTAATGAGCGTAACAGCTAGTCCTTTGGTTTAGCTGTCACAGGACTATAGCTCTTAACTCGTTGTCATTGCGCCCACAATCACGCGCGCTGATAGAAAGAGACAACGGTCCCTCCTGTCCTATTCCAACTATGATCTAGCTGTCACAGGACTATAGCTCTTAATGCCTTGTCATAACGCCCACAGTCGCGCGCGCTTAATATGATAACGCCAGCTAGTTTTAAAAAAAGATATCAACTGTTGTTTCTAGGCTGTCACAGGACTATAGCTCTTAATCCCTTGCCATAACGCCCACAGTCGCGCGCTTAATATGGTAGCGCCATCTAGTTTTTAAAAAAGAGATCAACTGTTGTTACTAGACGGTCCCTCGTAGTTTATTCCAGCCGAGTCATAGGACTATAGCTCTTAACACGTTCGTCTTGCGCTCACAGTCGTGCGCACTGAACAAACACCGTTGTATTCAGCTATTACAAGACCTTAGCTCTTTATCCCTTGTCATAACGCCCATAGTCGCGCGCGCTTAATATGGTAACTGCATCTAGTTTTTAAAAAAGAGATCAACTGTTGTTTCTAGGCAGTCACGGGACTATAGCTCTTATTCCCTTGCCATACCGCCCACAGTCGCGCGCTCTTAATATGGTAACGCCATCTAGTTTTTTAAAAAAGAGATCAACTGTTGTTACTAGACGGTCCCTCGTAGTTTATTCCAGCCGAGTCTATAGCTCTTAACACGTTCGCATTGCGCTCATAGTCATGCGCACTGAACAAAGACCGATCCATTCAGCTGTTACAGGACTATAGTTCTTAATGCCTTGTCATAACGCCCACAGTCGCGCGCACTAGACATGGACCCGCGCTACCTGATGGTGCCTGCCACGCTGGCCTGCTCCATGGCCTTCCACATGCCCGTGGGAACGCCGCCCAACGCTATCGTGGCTGGAGTGGCACACATCCCTACCGCTAGGATGGTAAGTCAGAATATTTACTTAGAAAACATTATTTTGAACTTTATTGCCTTGTGTTTAGATCTAATAAAAAAATCTGAAAACCCCTTCAAAATTAGTTCAGCCAAATGCGAGATAATCGTCGCGATAAAATCAGGGTTGCAATATCTTACTTTAACTTTATTAAACGTCAAAAGTCTGTAAAACTCAATATAAAACACTGGTTAAAGTCATAGTTACGGTTACAGTTAAGGTGATGCAACGCAGCCTTTTGTGTAAAAACACTAACAAATTAATAACAATCAAGTTGATATTAATCTTGATTGTATTAATTTGTTATTTTCAATTTTAATTCAGACTCAGAGATTTTGTTTAATTCAGACTTCGTAATGTGTGAAATTAAACTGTATCTCCATACAATAGGTTCGGGAATTCTTTATAAGGGTGTCCCAAAATTATGATGATATTTGGATTATTTTTTGAGACATTATTGTAGCCAGCATTTTTTTTCTAAATTGCAGTACTAACAAAAGTTTTCTCCACAGGCTGTCGGAGGTATCGGCCCGAAAATCATCACTACCCTCATCGTATGGGGCGCTTACCCCACATGGGGATCTTACATATTCCAGCCCCTCCAAAACGCTTCCAACGCCACAGCCTTGGCCAGTGTTGCCAACGCTACATCATTAGTTGCGAACGATACAATCGCAAATACTNTACAACCGCGCCCGCTGCGGGCGAAAACCGCGTCGTGAGTTGTGCATTAGTTTTTACATAAGTACACATCTGCATTCTACAGAAGCTACGGGCCCGCAACCGCCGCGGGCGCGTGTGAAAATCGCGCCATGAGTTCTTAGGGTTAGTCATCATAAAACTGATAATACTAAGTGTATTTTTCTGTGAAATAAATTTATTCATTATTTCAGGCGGAGGCTTCGCCCTAGCCGAGGGCAGCAAGGCTACCGGCCTGTCGTCCATGATCGGTAGCTCCCTCCACGGCCTCCACGGTCTACCGCATTCCTTAGTACTGCTGGTGGTTGTCCTGGTGACCCAGTTCATCACGGAGTTCACGTCTAATGTGGCCATCGCTAATCTGATACTGCCCGTGTTGGCTAATATGGTGAGTCTACATTTTATTTATCCTACACCACGAAATAATAGTAAGTACTACGTACAGAAAGTTTTCTTCGCGAAGGTATTTAAAAAGATGTCTTCTAAAGCCCGGTCTGCGAGCACGTAGAATTTTGTCCAATGACCCCAAGCTACCCATCCTTATCGCGCGCGCGTAATTGTTGCTGTCGCGCTCGCACACTCACTGCGGGCGCCCGTCGCACAGTCGCGACAGCACTAAAAAATTCTACGTGCTGTTTCTAGGCTGTCACAGGACTATAGCTCTTAATGCCTTGTCATAACGCCCACAGTCGCGCGCACTAGACATGGACCCGCGCTACCTGATGGTGCCGGCCACGCTGGCCTGCTCCATGGCCTTCTAGTTTACCTAGCTAGCTGTCAGAGAACTATAGTTCTTAACCCCTTGCTATTGCGCCTATAATTGCATGCGCTGGACAGAAACCGAGAATGGTCTTTCCTTCTGACTTATCCTAGCCGTGTATCTGTTGAGCCGTCACAGGATTCTAGCTCTTAACACCATGTCAAAACACCCACAGTCGCGCGCGCTTAATATGGTAACGCCATCTAGTTTTTAAAAAAGAGATCAACTGTTGTTACTAGACGGTCCCTCGTAGTTTATTCCAGCTGAGTCATAGGACTATATGGCTATATAGCTCTTAAAAAATAGCTCTTAACACGTTCGCATTGCGCTTACAGTTGTGCGCACTGAACAAAGACCGTTGCATTCAGCTATTACAAGACTTTAGCTCTTAATCCCTTGTCATAACGCCCACAGTCGCGAGCGCTTCATATGGTGACGCCATCTAGTTTTATAAGAGATCAACTGATGTTTCTCGGCTGTCACAGGACTATAGCTCTTAATGCCTTGTCATAACGCCCACAGTCGCGCGCTTAAAATGGTAGCGCCATCTAGTTTTAAAAAAAGATATCAACTGTTGTTAATAGACGGTCCCTCGTAGTTCATTCCAGCCGAGTCTATATTAACTGTCACATGACTATAGCTCTTATAACGTTCGCATTACGCCCACAATCGCGCGCGCTTGACGTAATGAGCGTAACAGCTTTGGTTTAGATGTCACAGGACTATAATTCTTAACCCGTTGTCATTGCGCCCACAGTCACGCGCGCTGGTTAGAAAGAGACAACAGTTCCTCCTGTCCTATTCCAACTATGTTTATATATAGTTGTCACAGGACTATAGCTCTTAACGCCTTGTAATAACGCCCACAGTCGCGCGCACTAGACATGGACCCGCGCTACCTGATGGTGCCTGCCACGCTGGCCTGCTCCATGGCCTTCCACATGCCCGTGGGAACGCCGCCCAACGCTATCGTGGCTGGAGTGGCGCACATCCCTACTGCTAGGATGGTAAGTCATAATATTAACTTTGAAAACATTATTTTGAACTTTATTGCCTTGTGTTTAGATCTAATAAAAACTTTTCTGAAGACCACTTCAAAATTAGTTCAGCCAAATGCGAGATTATTCGTCGCGATAAAATCCGGGTTGCAACATCTTACTTAAACTTTATTAAACGTCAAAAGTCTGTAAAACTCAATATAAAAACACTGGTTAAAGTCATAGTTACGGTTACAGTTAAGGTGATGCAACTCAGCCTTTTGTGTAAAAACACTAACAAATTAATAACAATCAAGTTGATATTAATCTTCAGACTTCGTAATGTGTGAAATTAAACTGTATCTCCATATAATAGGTTCGGGAATTCTTTATAAGGGTGTCCCAAAATTATGATGATATTTGGATTATTTTTTGAGACATTATTGTAGCCAGCATTTTTTTTCTAAATTGCAGTAGTAACAAAAGTTTTCTCCACAGGCTGTCGGAGGTATCGGCCCGAAAATCATCACCACACTCATCGTATGGGGCGCTTACCCCACATGGGGATCTTACATATTCCAGCCCCTCCAAAACGCTTCCAACGCCACAGCCTTGGCCAGTGTTGCCAACGCTACATCATTAGTTGCGAACGATACAATCGCAAATACTACCTTCAAACCGCTGCTTCTTCAAGAATTGGCTCTCAACTGCAGCGCTACCTTGGGTTCTTTGACCAAAAACGGAAGATTCAGGTGTGACGTTTCAAACGACATCGGAAACAGCACAGCACTAGCGTCGATAGCGAAAGGTATCTTCTCATGTGACTATATTAGTAAGCGTTAAACGCCAATAGGTCAATCTAGGTAATCCGCCATTTTGTGCTCGCCACTGTGATTTTGAAACTGAAGTTTTTTGAGGATGTGCTCCTCTAATGTAGATATACTTACCTACTTGTATTCACAAGTAAACTAAAAATGCAGGCAACATTAGTGAGTTGCCAGTACCAAAATAACTGGGTGTCGCCATTTCAACTGTCAGTTTGACAGCTAAGGAACATAATCTGTATTTATTCGCAATAATCCTGCCATTATAAAGCATTTGCAACGTAATGGTCAGTGTTTCGGTGTACAGTGCTGATGGAATTGAATCTAGTTAGTGCCATAAATTAGAACAATTAATATGCACAAATATATTTGAAAAATATTGATAACTATAAAACTTTATATAAAATCGCAGCATATTTGTATAGTAGTTTCTATCAACGATTTAAAATAATATATTTTATATAAATAAACTATGTATTACAGTTTATAATATCGAAACATGGGCCCTACAAAGCATTTAATATACCTACATAATATATTTCACTGAAAAGGCATCCCACCATCTTTTCAGTGATATATTTTACCAAATAATTATATGTATAAGTTATATATTGCATATAAATATAGCGGGAAAGCGGGTGTGGCTTAATAATAAACAAATATATATTATAACTAATAATATGTAAATTAATTGTAGTGTTTATTAAAGTATAATTATATTTTCGTTATGATAGTTTTTGTTCTAAAAATATTTTGTCTACTTATTATGTTATGTTTAAAATTTTATTACAAAAGTATAAAAATATCAGAATCCAAAAAACTATGGATACCTATTACTTCCAAAATTTATTCATGTCACAAAATTGAGAAAAATAATCTAAGCAAACATTGATATATTTAAAGATTGCTGTATTATATTGCTAAGCTATTAAGTGTATAAGGTTTCATAATTTCAATTTGCAGAATATGGTTCCATACCAATTTCTTAAGTTGTTGGTACGTATTAATTTATTTGGGTATGCGAGAGAACAGTGATATTTTTTCTGTTATTTATATAACTTGCATAAGTGTTTCGTATATTTATATTTCTGGGCTGTTTGTGGAATTTAAATTTTGTTCATTGGTATGAATGCCACCAGTTGTAAACCCAGTAACAGTTAAAAGGAAACATTTTACCAAAGAAAACGATATTTTTTATTATAGAATTTGTAAAATTTATATGAACGAACCAGAAATGTAAAGAATGCGTAAAATCAAAACAAAATACACTACAAGCAACAGATTTTTATTTCAATGTGTGCAAAACTGTAATTTATCTATGGAATGAAAGATTCGCTTGAATGTATTGAAAGTTGTGGATTGTGATTTTAGAAGTCGAGATGGTATAATACTGTATGGGTTTTTGTTAGTCCAGTAGTTTAAAATGGTGTAGTTTACCATGACAGTGTGCCTTAAAACTTGGTGATGATATTTCATTTTAGCAATCTGTATAATTATATTTTTTAGTTTTTGTGTCTACTGAAAATTATACATTTTGAACTTATGATTATCTGAAAACAGCACTCATATTTTTTTAATATATTATGATACAAATGCCCATATATAAGTTATATAAATCGTGTATAAGTAAATCATAGATGGGAAGTGCAAATTAGATTTAATGACATAAAGAACACTAATAATGATTTCATGGTGAAGATGCTATTAATTTTTGTCAAAATAGAAAAATACACGTACCTCACGACACATTGAACACAGTATCCGATTTGGACTGGTAGAAAAGACTGGTGTACAAAATATTTTATTGGTCAATAGCCAAACAAAATGTTTAATACAACAAACAATTTAATAAACTGTATTAAATTCTTAGATAGAAACCGAACCTTATATTTCGAAGAAATTCTAATTCATATATTTTTACTATTTACTCATATTATTGAGTAGTTTTTGGGCGTAGTTAGATGGGTTTTATAAATGCTACTATTGTTTGATATATTTATGTATTTTTATATTAGTATTGGACGTTTGAATCTCTTAGCTATGCCTAAATGTAGTAAAATGATATTCCTATATTGTTGTATAGAAATGTATGGAAACTAGTATTATGTTGTTTGTGACGAGAAATAATGTGCCTCGTGTGTCCTTATAGGTAATAATTTCTTAAGCCTTATATTTACTTAGGGACTTTATAACATCCTGTAGCCAGAACTAACGAGCGACATATAACATAGCAGATATTTACACTTCTCTAGACGTAATTGTCTGCTAGTAGTGTTACTTACCTTAATTTTAAAAATGTAACAAATCACAAATATCATTTCGCCAGTAGAGCGAGATTACATAAAGTTAAAATATATAAATGTGGTGCCCGAGGTTGTGAAAGTGCGTTATTTTTTGTCATAAATATGTTAGTGTACATGCTCATTTTGTAAATAGCGGAATGGAGAATTGTATTGTTAGTTGTTATTTTAATAAAAAATGTTCAAATAATTATAGTTTTATTTTTTAATGGTAACACCACAGAATAATAATAAGTACAACACTTCGTGTTAATACGCCAGGGCCCTACTAAGGGCTAGGATCAAGGGCTCATTTAGACGTTTTAATTTATTCAGATCATGAATAATGAATGCATTTTGGTTTTACTCCTGAAACAATAAAGTAAATAAAACGATCTCGAAATTAGACTACTTTTATTATCAAAATGTATGTATTCAGCCCACTCTGGGCGAAGGTGGATATCGGTCCATATAGCTTTAGACCACACAGCCACGGTAAACCAGCATACTGCTACCGCGATCACGGACGGACCGACACCAGCTGACATCTGCCAATAAAATAGTGTAATTTTGTATTGTAGTACTTATTTAAATTGAAACAAGTTTCATATTTGCATTTTCAGAAAAATTTTGGACGATGTAAAAGAAGGTTCAGACCAGATTTACCTATAATTTAACCACCTCCCTAAATCATTTAAATAACAAAGTTATTCACTTAGCTTAAGGAAAGTCCTTACCATCTTCCAGGGAGGTATAGCTACATAAGCAGCCACCATGGCGTTGACTGGCGATCCCGTGACGAGGTGGAAAGAGAGAGAACAGGACAAAGTGGCTGCCAGCATCAGGTAGTGTGGATTAACTGAACTGGCTACACTCTGTAGGAAAGGTATTGATGTAGATTTAATATGTCGGGTAAATAAAGTAAAGACGAACAGAACATGATTTCCAGTAGTTACCAGTCTAGCAATAGCCGGAAGCAGACAGTACACAGAGCACGAGTTGCTTGCGAACTCGCTTAAAACCTTGCAGAAGGAGATGACCAGCAAAGCCAGAACTGGTGCAGGCCAGTTGATAGCGAACATCAGCATGTTTCCAAACTCATCGGTCATACGGGATTCTTTCAAAGCCTCAAAGCAACTGCAACTACTTGCTGAGGATATACAGAGTAGTTATGGACTTAGCTAAGTGCTTAAAGGATCCACTGTTAAATAATTTAGTTGCGATAAAATAAGCTTCTCTTTTTGGTCAATCGATACAGGAATAAGCTGTGATTTATAGGTAGGAGAAGACTACTTAGAGGTTCTCAAATTTTTTCAGGAACTTACCAATAATAAATAAAACACACCAGCTAACATTATTTTGCACCATCTTCCAAGTTAGACATGATCTAGCTGGTAACATTGGCAATGGTTCATTACCTGTGAAATTTTAAGTTTTATTAATGTGGCAGTTCTGTTAACAGGACTAGACTACAAAAAAAATTAAATATTTACCCCGTTTCTTGAAAAACTTTATAAAACTTAAGTTCGTGGGTAATACAAATAAAAGAATAACACAGAACATTGACGGCGCAGAAGTTTTCAAATGGCTGAAAACAGTGAATATGCTGATAAGTACGACTATTTTTTTTACTTTAATAATGTTACTTTAATTATTTTACTTACCTATGAGATTGTGTATAATTATTAAAGTGCGCTGAATTAAATGCGGACTGAAGGATACATGTTAATAAAATTATTGCACCAACTATCTGAAATAAAGTAAGATTGTGATAGCCAATTAGGAATCAAATACATAGGTATCTTTTTTAACATGTTCCAAAAATTACTACATCAAGATGTAGTAGATTTTTAAAGACACAACTTTAACGGCAGGCTATGACTCGAAATGTGTTTAAAAGCTACATACTGCTTCATGAAAATGTATCTTCCCAAGTTGTTGATACTGCATCTTTAGAAGTGTACTAATGTATTCTGCTTCTTCTTCTGACATCCCTATTTCTAATGCTATATCGCTTCTTGCCCTGAAAAAGAATATCCATAAAAAGTATGATTTATACGTACTTACTTTGCCGACTACCTACGATCCGTCGCTTTTATTTAATGGTAAAGTAAACGCTCATAAGAATTAAATTTGCCCTCAGCGGGATTCAAACCAACAACTGTAGTTTTACCTGAACATGCCTAGGAAATAGAAGTTCATCCACATGTATAAAAGAGCCTCCATAAGCAAGACTGCTGGTAAATTGAGTAGGAATAAATGAGGAAATTCTATCTTCGGGCTTGATGGAAACAGACTGTATGAGAGAAAATGAAGTTAATCAGAAGGAAGAATTGTTTTTTATTATATTGGGGCCCAAGGCAAACCAGTACCTTTCACAATACAACTTAAAGATTTGATTTGTTTGACTCCCAGCGATTGTTGCTATGCTTCCTAAAATAAAATAAACCAAATTAAAAAAAAAAAAACTTTATGAAACTAATGCAATATGCAGACATTTTTTCGTCATACCAATGGAAGATGAATAGGCAATTCCTAGAAAATAAAACACAGTGAAATCGGTCGGTTTAGGACTTCTGAAAATAATTGAAATTTAAAAATTGAATTTTACAACAATTATTATGGACATTCAACATTTTATTTTTAATAAACTTACCTACTTCAGTTCATAATGTTTTCCGTTTGTTTTCCCTATTGCATGGTGCATCTCCAGTATTCCCATCTAGGAACAAGATTTTCTATAGGTCAGATAACCGACAGGAATTTTTATATTAGTTTGAGATGAGATGAGCCCCACAGGCCCACACTACTACCCTTAGTGCGGCCCTGACCAAAAATATAAAGTTATTTTAATAAATATTATTTACCTTCTCCAATTCAACAAGAACAGCTTTTACTAAGGGCATCATGAGTCCACATGCAATAATATCTGATATCCACATTGCAAGGAACATGCAACTGAAGAATAGTATGAAACTCAACCTAAAAAGGCGGGAAATTCATTATCTGTCAAGTTTAAATTATGTGCCAAAATTAGGGTTACCAGGAATAAATATCAAATGGAAATAGTAGATTTTCAATTAACGATTCGTACCTGTAATGGGAACATCCAAACACCATCATTAATTTGATGGCGGCTCTTCTATTTAGTTTACTTTCTTCAATTCCTACAGTAATCATCATTATGCTTATGCAGTCCAAGAGCTCACTTCTTATGAAAATCTGCAGTAGGTATTTAATTAAACTATTTTTATGTGTTTGTAAAGAAAGAGTTACCTAACTCAAGCATATTAATTGCCTTGAAAACTTACTTGATTTAAATATTCACTATCTGTTAATCCTGTACCTAAGAGCGTGTATAATGTGATAGGCATTAAAGAAATGACACCTGGATGAATTGTATCAGTAATCCAATAAATGGCACATACTAGAAATATGTAAAAACACTTGTAAGCCTGAAAATGAAGCAATATTGATTGCCTTCACATGACTTGTTTGTTGACTCTATTTTTAATTACTTACTGAAGAATGTAATTGACTTACATTTGTGTTAGCTAATACGTAAACAGGTAATAACAATATCGGTGTTGTAAGAAGAACACATAATCTCCAATATAATCTGCAGAAGAGCTTTAAACGAACCCTCTTGGTTAATATTACTAGGTTTGTATCCCTGAAAATAATTTAAGAAATAATAATCTGGGATATTTAGACTCCCAGTTAGTTGTTCTTATTGAAATGTAGTACTAACGAATCGGATTCCATATTATTATTACTGCATTCAAAAGTATATTTATATGGACATTTAATGAAACTACATACATCAATAATATTTTAATTTTTGATTGTTGATCTAGTTGGTTTGTGTGATATAGATAGAATTGAACACTTATTACGACCTTAATCTACACGATTACACCATTCTACATTAAAAAACATCCCTTTAAAATTGTGTTCCATTACCAATGAATTAAACAAAACCAAAATCTGTACTAATGCTGCTCTTCAATCATATCTTCAATTCATGCATGGATAAAATATGTCGTAAATGTAGTAATTATATTGCTTTTAATGTAGCAACACTTTACATTTCCGGTCGCTGGCAAAATCACTTGTGTCCATGTTCATAATCTATAAAAAGTTCAAAGTTTGACATCTTTGTTTAAATTTTTTAGTTGTCATTTTGTTGTTACCGCGAATGGTTGTACAACATTTTCAATTAAAAACTCAACATTTAATTTACGTATTCCAAGATATTAATCGTTAAAAATGCCTGTCGAGTTAGAATACGATTATGCAGCGGCTACATCGGCTATGGATACATTTTCGCAAGATGATATCAATTATTTGAAGCAGTGGACTCAAAATTTAGACAAATCAAAATATGTGCCGAAAGATTTGACTGATAAACAATTGGTGTTATTTTATAATGCTTGTTATGGGGATTTAGAGAGGACAAAAACTTGTGTGGAGAAGTATTATTCGTGCAGAAAGAACTCTCCAGAGTTCTTTGACAACAGAAAAGTGAATTCACCTGAAATGGCACCAATCGTGGAGGCATTGTAAGTATCTGTTTTCTTAATATTTTCCGTGTTGCATCTAGGTTTTTTGTTTCAATACTGCATAGTATTGTGTGCAGAGATTGTGACGCAATAGACGCACCTAGACTAACGTAAATAGATTAGCATTTAAATAGCACCTTAGCACTAAAATTCGATTTAGGTGACATTAAAAGGCTTGAAGTAAACAAACTGGCTTTTTATAAACACAGCATCATGTGGACTGTGTTGTAATAAAGGTAATCTATTCTTGAAAAAACAAGTAAAGGTTTTAAAACAGCAATTTACTATTACCTGTAACAGCTATTTTTATTCACCTACACACATCACTCATTTCATTTTACCCAAATCCATGCCTATTAGCATTACAAATTATTTCATCAGCAGATATTGCCATGAAAGTCGTCTTAAAACGCAATTCACATCATAAATTTACATAGTTTAAAAAACATAAAATGCACAGAATTTATTACAATATGGTCCTTATTTGCAGAGGTCATGATTTTACTTGATAATCTCTATTGTTCTGTAGCTTATTAATATCAATGTTGCATATTTATTATACCTACAACATGTTGAATATTTTATTACAGTAGTATTGCTAGTAGTTGGTCAAGTAATAGCCATATTAACACATCGATGGACAATAATGTCCATGGGCGTTCAGGTAGTAAATAATGATACAATAGACTTCATAGTTTTTTACTTCTTTTATTGTTAAATAATTAATGATTCCTGAAATATATGATAATACTTTATAATATAAGTACTGTCGCCAATAGTATTAACTGCCCATTGAAAGTAATGTCATCTCGTTCTATCGCAAAGAATTGCCGTTTGATCAGAGTGAGAGCAAAAATGGAAATGGATAGTTAACAGTGTGGGCATGTGTACATATGTTTTTCCCAATTTAATCAGACACAGTCCAAATTTTATTTTATTTTATTTATTTATTAGGTATATACTACAGTTGACAATCGAGTTTTGTTAGTAGATACTTAAGTACACCATGGTTAGTAGTTAAGAGCTAGATTGACAACCTAATTCTAAAGAAAGTGAAGCATCGGCTAAGTAACTTTTATTTTGAGACTTATATCTTATTTAAATCAAGATCATTAGACTTTCATGCCGAGCTGTGTCTCAAAATATATGTCATCCATTTACTTTGTACAATATACATTATTAATTGTGTCAAGGAATAAACACAATGCTAATTGTTTACAAACAATACACAAAGGTGAGGTTTGTTCATTGTCAATGTATGATGAGTTTTCATTTATGGTCTTGAAGGTTGCCATTAAAATATAATAAGTACCTATTTGTCTTAATTCAATTAGAAAAACGTGGTTAGTGGTTTGTTTAATGGACTTTTAGTAGACATGTACGTCTTTGAGGGTCATTATCAAGGCCTAGCTAGACGATGTGCCTAAATTCCAACTTGCTTATAATTATTCAGAAATTTTGCTTTATTCAACCTGTTTCCTTTTTCTGAGGGCATTGCTTTGGAGCCCTTCACACATTCACGCCAACGCCAACTTTTTTTTAATTGATCGTAAAAACGGTAGCCCTCATAGGCTAAGAACTCACGGCGCGATTTTCACACGCGCCCGCGGCGGTTGTGGAATTGCGGTTTTATTTCAAAACTCACGGTAGCGGTTATTTGCGCGGTTATGCTAAGTCACTGGTACAAAATGGTGAAAATCGCGCCATGAGTTCTTAGCCATAGTATAGCTCTACAAAAGTCTACAGGTATTAACACATTCCCTCATTCCAGGGAGTTCTCCGTGCTTCCCGGGAAGTCAGTGGAGGGCTATGACGTCATCTACCACCGGCTGCACTACACAGAACCCTCGAAATACAACTTCGAGTTGGGGGTCAAGCTGTTCTTCATGACTATTGGTGAGAACTTTCGATCATTTTGGATAATAAGATCTTCGTCATCACTACATAAGTAAGTATAAAAAAGTCGCTTTTGCTGTCTGTCCCTATGTGTATGCTTAGATCTTTAAAACTGCGCAACGGATTTTGATGCGGTTTTCTATATCTATTAGGGTGGTCCTTATTCCTACGAAAAAAAAATTTTTTCTTATATTTTGCGGGGCACCACGTAATTTGAATATATACCATATGAAAGTCTTTCATTATTATTTTTTTAATTTTTAAAAGACATTTAGGGGTCGCTACCAAGGTTTGAATTTTAAGTAAAAACACAAAATCTGTATTTGTTAGATTCATTTATTTTTAGCCAAAGCCAAATAAAAATATTACAAAATTATTGTTGTTGCTATGAACTAAGATATTATGTACAATGTACATTTGAATCAATTATTTTTAAGATATAAGAGTTTACGTCGGTACCATGGTCGGTACAGAAGAGGGGTTGAGGGGAGAAGGGGACAAGAACCGACTGTCTATTTTATCTATGCGATGTTCATTTGCACCTAAAATGTGATATAAACACTTAAATAAAACATTTATGAAACCATGATTTAAGATCTTCAAAGCTTTTGTAAATATTTTGACAGCTGGTAGCGACCTCTAAATCTTAACCAAAAAAAAAACAAAAAAAGCTAATTTCATATTTAGAGGTATATAATTGAATGAGAAAGTGCCCCGGGGATAATTCAAAAGTCGAAAAATAAGGACCACCCTAATATCTATACTAATATTATAAAGAGGAAAACTTTGTTTGTTTGTTTGGTTGTAATGAATAGGCTCAAAAATTACTGGACCGTTTTTAAAAATTCTTTCACCATTCGAAAGCTACATTATCCACGAGTAACATAGGCTAAATTTTATTTTGGAAAAAAATAGGGTTCAGGGGTCCACGCGCGCGAAGCCGCGGACGGAAAGCTAGTCTTTAATAAATAGAGTGATTCAAGAGGAAGGTTTATAAGTATAAAATATGCATAACATAGAAGAGAAAAGCCGAGAAATTCCATTGCAGCCGGGGCGGGCCGCTAGTTTATAATAAGGTGTAGATGTTTCACAAGGTACAGTCAGCGTCAAATATGTAGATTGTAGATGCTTCATTAGATACAGTCAGAGTCAAATATAGTGACACCTAAAGTGGCCAAAAAGTTGACAACGCAACTTTATTCAAATTTTAACAAAGACGGGACTATTCCCACCTCTCGTTCCCACCACTGCAACTCCTGTGTAGCCAGGATCTACAGCTTGACCGCCACAAAAACCCAACCAATGAAGGTCAAGTTTGTCCCGGGGGAAAGTTAAACTGTCATTGGACCCGCAACGAAATNCCGCTCCCGCGCCGCCGCCGCCGCCGCCCCGCTGCCCGCTAAGTTCGAGGCTGAGGCCTAAAGCCTGGTCCGTGAGCACGTAGAATTTTGTCCAATGACCCCAAGCTACCCATCCTTATCGCTCGCGCGTAATTATGTTGCTGTCGCGCTCGTACACTCACTGCGGACTGCGGGCGCCCGTCGCACAGTCGCGAAATTCTACGTGGTCACGGACCAGGCTTTAGATGTTTCACAAGGTACAGTCAGCGTCAAATATGTAGATTGTAGATGCTTCATTAGATACAGTCAGAGTCAAATATAGTGACACCTAAAGTGGCCAAAAAGTTACAACGCAACCTTATTCAAATTATAACAAAGACGTGTTACGTTTACGGCGACGAATGGAGAATTAATGAATAGGTGCAATAAATCAATTTTTATGTTAATTAAGTGGACACTTAAAGCCTAAAGGCCACTAGAAAATCTAGTTCCGCGGTGTTGTCTAACTGGTCAGGATATTATTCCAATTTAGTATTTTCACAGCTTAAATGCTTAAAAAAAGCAGACAGATTTTGATTCTGTTACTAGCCGAGGTTTTACGAATCAAGAATTCCCTATTTTATAGCGTTACTCGACCCGAGAGAAAATGTTTCGTGAATATTTTCTTGAAAATTCTTCTGAATTCTCGAATACTTAATATTTAATTGTAAATTCATGAGCATCGGATCTCACAGCCCTGATCATCTTTTACTTCAGACGGTAGACGGAGTCTCCGTTAAATTAATTAAGTAATTTAATTAACCGCCTCTATGGTCTATTGGTAAGACCACCTGCTTCAGTCGCGGAGGTCCCGGGTTCGATTCCCAGTGGGGGAAGATTTTTCTGTTCGGTTTGGTTGGTGGTAGGGNTGGTAAGGCTTGTTCTAAGTCCGCCTGGCTAGCTACCACCATCTTACCTAAGTCTGTCGCCATAACAACAATGTTAACAGCATTGTTGTGTTCCGGCAGTTAGAGGTAAGATAGCCAGTTCCTCCGTGGTTGAGGATTCCGGGTGAAGCTCGCTTCCATCTTCGGTCTGATCGTCACTTACCATTAGGTGAGATACAGGCCAAGAGCTTCCCCGTTGTGGATAAAAAAATATGATTTCTTAGCAAATAGAAAGATGTGTTTACAACAACAGGAAAATTACCATAATACCAATAAAACTGTAAACATGCAACCTTTATCGCAATATCCTATATTTACTACGCAGTACGATTTCTAAAAGATTTCTAAAGGTACAGTAGGTATTTTGCATCCAGTATAATAAAGGTCAAAGGGTAAAAAAATAAGACATTATTTTAGGCGAATGTTTACTTTATAAAATGGAGACAAGATAGCGGGTATGAAATATAAACTCACAAATAATTGTTTAGGAACGCCAAATACCACGAAAGCGGAACCCGGCTATATTTATATTTTAACTAGCTTTTGCCCAAAGCTTCGCCCGCATGAGTTTCAGATAGATTTATGCCTGTTTTCACCATCAATACCTACTTTTTAAGTTTTGTTTTCAAAGGGGTCACTTAAAAATTAGGAATTGATGGTGAAAACGGGTATTAATCTCGCCTCTGTTTCAAAAACTCGGTCTCAATTTATTAATAATCTTTTTACCAAATCGTTACATAAGTATCCCCTTATTACAAAAAGTTAAACTCGTGTTGATTACTAGTTTAAAGTGACATTTAGGCTGAGTTGCACCAACTAACTTTGACCGTAACTATAACGATAACCGGTGTTTTTTGTATGGAGTTTGACACATTATTGACGTTTGTCCAAGTTATAGTAAGATGGTGCAACCCATGGTGTTGGTGGTGGTGGTGATGGTGCAGCCTTAGTAATGGAAATGTCATTTTAAACCAGTGTTCATCGCGCGTTTAACTTTTTTGCAATTAGGCACATCGGAGTTACTCATGATTCTACCTATAATATTATAGTATCATGTTATCTGTAATATTACTATTAGTATGGCAGTCATATTTCCATATTAATATCAAAGATATGAATGCAAGGTATTAACTCAACAGCTTATTACAAACCACCATAAATGATGTTGCGTAAATACGCAGTGGGTTGTTTACCAAAACAAAGCTTAAAATAATTAAGACCAAAAGCCACAATACTGCAGTGCTAATAGGCTGCTTAATCGATGTCACTAGTGCTACCACGCAAACAGTTTTTTGTGGGACGCGAGTCCCGATTTTTATCTCTACATTTAAGGCTGTTTTGCTGCAAAACTTTTGCACCACCTTACTTTAATCGTAACTACACTCGACAGCAAATAAATCGCACCACCCGCGACAAGCACTTTCCAACGTATGCATCCCGACTTCACACCAATATTGGTACCATTCAAAAGCCTAGTTCTAAACTTCATTTCATTATAGGGAAGGTTTTTACCCCAAAAATGTTTCTTTAGAAGGATCCAGAGTCACTTCTTCAAAAAATAGATAGTTACGCTTGAGCCAACTTTTATGGCTATAAAACTATTAAGTTGGGATTTATCGCCATCTGTTAAAGAGGACACGTGTGATCATTATTTGGTTTTATAACCATAAAATTTGGTCTAATTTATCCCAGAGGTGAGCCCAAAGTGAGGTCTTTTTTCAAGTCACATTTATGGTATATTTATTAAGAAATTAAATGTGTTTTTCTTTAAGGATATTTATTGGGCTTTCAAATAACACCAATATTGTTGGGGCACCATTATTGTGTCAAAAGAAAATCTTTAAAGTTCGCGTCGCGGGTGGTTCGATTTATTTGCTGTCGAATGTATAAAATAACCGGTGTATTTGCATGGAGTTTGACAGATTTATGACGTATGTTAAAATTAAAGTAAGATGGTGCAACTCAGCCTTAGAGTCTCAGCAGTCTACAGACTTTATCCGCCGATAATTTGGTTGACTTCAAATTAGTATGAAGAATCAGCTGAAGAAATCGTTAATTAATGCGCGTACTTTCATATCTACATGTTCAAACTGATTATCAGCCAAGCCAAACTATCGGCCAACATAAACGCCCGTATTCATAAAACGATGCTTGCTTAAGTGAAGCAGCAAATCAAACGCACAGCGCACGCACGCGCACTGTGAGACCTCATAGTAATGTTTGTGAATACGGGTGAAAGTGTAGTCTGTAAAAACTCATAACCAGGATATAGCTTTAAACACTTTATAACTGTAACTTTTACCAGGAGTAAGTAGTAAAAGTTAAACGCGCGTCGAACACTAGTTTTAAAGTATCGTTTAGTATGGAAATTGTATTTTAAATGCAAAGTAGTAGTAGTAGCACTTTTTGTCTCCTAAAAAGCTCACAGCTTGGAGTCTCTAGTCATTATGACCTAGTTCTTATTCAAGGAACCTCGTGGATTGTACCGATCTTTTGTCCGAGCTTTGTACATAATGTGTGTACATATAAAGTAGTTGTAGGGTTGTAGGGAAACGCAGTAATTAAAGAGGGCAAACATAATATCATAGATGGATAGGCAAAAAGTTTAAAAGAGAACAAAAAACAGGAGTACTCAGCAGAAAAATAGTGATATAGCAACAAAAACAGGAGTACTCAGCAGAAAAATAGTGACATAGGTAAAAAGCAATAAAATAAAGTTAGCAGAAAGGCGTTG